AAAAAAAGCATCAAAGTGAAAGAAGGGAACCGAGAACAAAAACAATGAGACAGACCTAAACCCGAGCAGGATCCGTGCTGCCAAGCCTGTGGTCTAGGAGCTGATCTCCACTCGGTTACGGGTACAAATGCCACCGGGGAGAGAGTTGCAACGGCCGCTGCCAGCAAGACTCTGCTTACACGGGGGGACGTCAAACCGGGGATGGAAGCTCTTGGCTGAGCCCCGGGCGCTATCACGGCTCCTCCGGCCGCCCGACGCGACTGAGCCGCCCGCTCTGCGCTGCGGCACCGGCCCTTCGCCTCCACGGGGCCTGGAGTGCTCGAGGCTGATTTCTGGCCTCTGCTGAAGCGGTACCGGCAGCTCTGCCAATGCTCACACCCGCACTTCTCTGCCCAGGGGGGCAGCAGGAGGCACTGAGCCAAGGTTCGCATCCAGGGTTCCCTGTTCGCCCCCTCCAGTAGCGACACGGGCTGTTCCGGCAGCGCCGGGCTCGTCCCTCACCCTTGGGCTCATCCGACACCCCCGGGTTCATCCTGTCCCCCCCGGGCTCATTCGACACCCCCGGGCTCATCCAACACCCCTCGGTTCATCCTGTCCCCCCCCCGGGCTCATCCAACACCGCTGGGATCATCTGACACCCCTGGGCTCGTCCGACACCCCCGGGCAGCGATTTTGCAGCAGCGGAGCCCCGTGTGTTACCCAAGAACCGAAGGGAAGTCGTGGGGCCTCAAACCCAGGTGAGTGGAGAAGCCACCGCGAGGCGAAGCACCGTCTCTGCTCCAGGTGAGACCCAGAGCCTCGACCGCGAGCAGCCCCGGCCTCCCGCCCGTGCCAGGCTTTGGCTTTACTTTGATATTTGATCCTCTAAAGCTCTACTAACCTGTTTGATTTCTTTCCATCATCAGAATAATCCTTTATGCAAGCACAAGCTCCTTCAGCCGAAGTCCTCATTTTGCTCGAAGCAGATCAGCTTTGCAGGACTATCCCACTTGACGCGCAGGTGATTTTTTTTTTTTTAAACCTTTGTTTAGTTTCTCAAAAAAAAGATTTTTTTTTTTCTTCCTGAAGTTTAGCTGCTGCACAAACAGGAGACTTTTGTCTTTCCCAGGAAGCTGACCTCAATCACGTACCTAAGTCAGTGCTTTCAAAGGGCATTTAGGTGCATGAAGTTCCTAAGAGGCCAAGTCCTCTGGGTTTCACCGGGAGTGAAGCGGTTTGCCCGTTGAATTGCTTTTGAACAACCTCCCGAGGTGCCTGGTTCATCTTTTCACATCTAAACACATTTCGATATTTATCCTTTGGGGCCTGGGGCTGCTCCTGGTAACACCCCAAACCCCCCGGCAGCAGCTGCCCCCCCTCGCTCTGCCGAGGCCCCATCCCGGGCAGCCCCTGGCGCTGTGCTGGGGGGTTCTGGTGTGACTGGGGGCGTCTCAGAGCAGCTGCTCTGCTGGCTCCTGTTCCCGCAGCGCCGCTGCCCGGGACTGAGCACGGTTGGAGTAAATGATCCGTCCTCGGGTCGGGTTTTTCTGTGACGGCCGATCCTTTCCAACTGTCTCGGCTTTTCTCTCGCGCAGCCGCTCTGTTTGCTGCTGCGGCCTCAGCCGGGGGCAGGACGAGGTTTGGACGCGCAGGTTCTCCGGGCAGACGGTCGCTAACGCAGCACAAAGGGTCAAAAATAGCTTCACTTGCCCTCAGCCTCCAAAACCTCGGGGAACTCTGCAGCTGTCCTCAAAATGCCACATTTTTGCCCTGTATACGCAGAAGCCCTACTGAAAAAAAAAAAAAACCCACTTAATTGCAACAACAGGTAAAAGCCGTTCCATGACTTTACAAGAGGACACATGACACGAGCTTCAATGAACTAGTATGTTTTTATGGAATAGTGGGTATATCAGTAACGTTTTCTAAACCCTTTTGGTCTTTTTTTTTTTTTTTTAAATGGTCTAAAAATAATAAAATCCAACCTGTTTGGTTTTTTTAAACTTAAGAGTGGTCTGGTTCTTGTCTTCTAAGGTGATGCCTGTCTGTGATTCAGGGCTTTCGTCTGCCGTTCTCCCATCTTGAGCCCAGAGGAGAATAAAACCACGGAATGCGTTACTGGAATACACGACGCACAGAAGGTTTTGTGGCAAAAGTGCTTCCGAAAAGCAAAGTGAAAATTTCCGAGTTGCTTCAGGCTTCTGCCCAAACGCTGGCGGTGTCTGGAGGGATCGCGGATGGCAGCTCTTGGCTTCAAAAGCCTGTGAAGGGGAATTTGTAGAGGAAATAACACAAATGTCAGTGAACTTGTAGTCTCTTTGTAAGCCTTTAACTGCTATCAGAAATAATTTTCATGTTACTTTAAACCAAGTACAGTTTCCTCCTTGAAGGGCTGAGGTACGAATCCACAAAAAGACACAGTGAGGAAGATGCAGTTGGGCTCCGAATACTTAATACCTGAAGCTGTTGGGTTTTTTTTCCTGCTGATTATTTCTGCCGTTATTTTTAAGCACTTGCAGTTGTACTAGTCAAAATGCCTTTGAGGGGTTTGTTTCCAGCAATTAAAAGGATTGCTTTTAGAAAAACACACCTTGAGGCACTTAGGAGGAGGGGGGCAGTTACCTCGTCACCCATTTTGGTTTAACTTTCTTAACTAACTGTGCCAAACAGGTGGTAATTAGGAGGGTTATTTGTTTCACTAACTCATTAATATGAGGAACTTGCATCACAAAAAGTTGTGACGCTGGCTGAAAAGCAAGGTGTGAAAATTCCGATGCGCACGTACCTGCTGCTGGATATTCTCTCGCTTTCGGTTAGAAAATAAACCCACGAAGCAGACATCAGGGACACGCTTGTTCCATGGAATAAGGCAGCTCTCGCCCAATAATTTAACACTTTCAGATTTTCAAAACTTGAAGGCAAAACGTAGGGAAGATTGCACGGCCTCTCCTTCCCCCAGAGGCCCCCGTTACCCCTTGCCCTAAAACCTCTCCCCGAGCTGCAGGATCTCCGCGGTGGTAGGTGCCCGACGCGCTCGAGCCCTCCTGCTTTCACCCGCTGGAGCACAGATGCTTATCCCTAAAACCTCCGTGTGCTCGCTGATCTCCACCGTGGCCTGGCCTCCACATTCGTGCGGTAACCCCAGTCAAGACTGACGGGATTTATTTCACTTTAATTTCAGCCTGTTTGTTCAAACTTGTTTGCAGGGGCCGTGGCGTGACTGGGACACCGGGGGCCCTTGTGCCGGAAGGGTGAGTTTGTCGAAGTTGGTTATTCTCGCTACGCAAGTCCATCGCAAGAGAAGGCTGTTGCCCTTGTGTTTAAAGCTGAAGTTGTGTTTCTCGTGTGGCGTGTTCAGAGAGGTAATTCAGATTTCGGAGAACAAATGGGGTCCCTCATTCCTGTTTGTTCTGCTCCTCAATTCCATCCTGGACGGCTGTTCCCACCAGCTGAGCTCCCTTTAACGAAGCATTTCATGGAGATTGCTTTACATCTTGAACCACACCTCTGAAGATTTATTAACTGCGTTTTGCTCTTCTAAAAAAACATTTTTTGGAATGATTGTTGCTGCCAAGGTAAAGCTTTGATTTCTTCAATGATACCAGCTGCTGCCTGGACCGGGGGCTCAGGTGCAGTCGGTTGGTGCGGGAGCAGGAGGAGACTTCACACCTCAGGTGCTGCAAACTCCTGCTGTGCAACAGCTTTTATCTGTGCATCAGCCGTGGGTTCTGAGGGCCCTTTGTGCTTTTCATCTGCTACGTATTCTCAAGGTATATGTAAATAACAGTAATTATTGGCAAAGACAGGTGTGTTGCAGCTCGGGGTGTGTACCTGGAGGAGTGGGTGTCGTCCTCAAGGGTAAAATAACTTCTCCGAGCACATGAAACCAATGGAACAAACCCCCAGTGGGTCGCGCTTGAACGCTGCCCAGCCCCTTGGCGCCCACAGAGCACCAGGGACCGGAACCTCCTCGAGGGAGCAGCCCCCACGAACGCGGCCCCTTCGCGTGTGCTGCCCCTGCCCGGCCCCTGGCTCCGGCCGCTGATGGGGAGCAGCTGGTTGGAGCTTCTGGTGACCCCCACACCCACCTGGGGCTTCTCAGCAGCACCCGAAACCCTCCCGCGGGGAAGGTGGAGCAGATCAAGCCCCCAGCTTGCTGCCCTTCGCTCTCGGGGGCAGCTCTCTGCTTCCTCTGGGTGGTGTTTGAGAAGCGGGTGCAGGCTCCTGGCGCTCCTCCAGCTGTAGTGAGTGTCCCCGGCCCCTCGGGGGGTAGATGTGGGTGCAGGCTGGTGAAGGGGGGTGGTGTGGGGACCGCTGGGGGCTCCTGTGCTGCGGGGGTCCCCTCTGGGGGGGCTGAGCCCTCTCCCACAGGGTCCCCGAGAGCTGCTGAGTCTTTCACACCCACGGAGGGGGCTGACAAGGAAATGAAGAGGCAAATCCAGAACATTGTATCATGGTGAGGGAGTTGTTTTCTTCGGTTTGTTTTTCTCTTCAAGAAAAACCAGGCGTTTTTTGAGAGTCTGACTCATGCTTTGTGACCTCTGACATCACCACAGCTCTGTGTTGGGTTTGTTCCTCAGGTAAAATCAAGCAGGCAAAGGTTCTCTTCTGTATTGGGTAGTTCTCAAAAATATGCTTTCATCTCACCAC